AATATTTGGTTCACAAATTTTTGAAATTTTCACAATTTTTCACAAATTATCAAAATGATGAAACTAATAGAAATGAAGAAACAATGATAATAAGGACCCTTACATTAGTTCTCTTTAGGATATGATTCAAGTTACTTAGCTCTTGTACACATTCCATCTATTTAAGTGGTAACACACAAAATCAAATAAGGTATAGTTTGTCTATAGTAAGAACTCTCCCCACCACAAAATCTGAGGCTGCCTGCTGCGAAGGAAACAAGAATAGTGCATTACAGGGAGGGTAGCTTCTCTTCACTCTAGGACTAACACAATAGACTAATGCAAAAGACCCCCTATCTCTCAACGACCCGAGCCAAAACCTGTCCCAAACAATGAACCTACTTAATATAGTTATATATACTTAATATATACTTAAAATAGTTATACCTCATTAGCATAGTCACCATCACTGGTCCAGATAAATGACAAGAGGAGTTCTTACTTTAGACAAACTATACAATATCTTACATGTCATCTATTTCATTGATTGTTGCTCTTGTACACTATTACTAACAAAACTTAAACTGTTTTGATGCAAAATAAAACAATCACATAATGGAAACTTTTTTTAATTGTCAAGTTCTCAATTTGTATTACAGTAGTTTTTTCCAAAAGAAATATTTTAAATAACCAAAAAAATATATTACCAGTAAATCCTAATTCATTTTCAAATTTAGAGCTGATTTTCAAAAAGTGGACAGTAAAGCTAATGCATAGAACTCAAAAAATAAAGTACAATCTGCAGGTTCAGACATTGAAAATGCAATCAAAGAACAACCTTTCCATCGAGTAAAACCTTAAAAAGAAAAATCAAGATTAGTCTTTGTTTAATAGACACATATTAAATCATTTTCATTTCTATTTCAATTTTTTGGAGGAAAAAACAAACACAATCGTAAAATGGTATTATTATAAAATTATTTATTATTAGCTTCCACTGATTTATTATGAGGAATATTAAATGTGATCTCTCGGGGGAGCCTGTAACCCCTAGAGAGCGCGTTCCCAGGTGGCGGATCGGGGAATGCCTCCATCGGCTAATACCTTTGGGTGGTAGGAGGGAAATAAAATACCTCCCGCGAACCAACAGGATACGACACCAACCAACCATTAAATGTGATTGAATGATATTTCCTAAATTAATTTGATACATATGACTTACTAATAATTACAAATATTTTACATCTCAGTATTTGCAACTCAAAGTTAGATATAGTGCAGCTATCAGAACTCCTCCAGACATCGTGGCGGGTACTATGGTTAGAGGACATCGTAGCAGGTACTGTGGTTACAAGGAAAAGTCACTTCGAATAGAGGTGTAGGGTGAATAGTTTTGTCTTAATCTTGGCATGAGTAAACCAATCGACACCTTCATTCTTCCATTACACCCCCATTAGAAATGTGCTCTCACTTACTACCATAGACAGTCCCAGACTTTTAGTCTGGAGGAGTTCTCCTCAAACTAAAATAGTTATCTAGTTAGTAGAGTATCTAGGTTTTTCCCATTTAGGAAGATGCCACAATAAATGGTATGCAGAATTTGTATTGCTGGCATTAGATACTTCATTATGAAAGATTGCGAAGAAGAAAAAATATTAATTTCTGTATCAGCACCTAACAGAATTAGTCACCAAGTTTTGGCACCAATCAGGCATATTGGCATCAAGGAGCAAATTTTAAAGGTGAACCCAAGGAAAGCCACTAAATAATTTATTTTTTCATTTCATAAAAAATCTTTCAGTGTCCTGGCAATTGTAGTTGCCAGGAACAGATACCAATGTAGAAATAAATCCCATTGATGCTCAATTGTGAAATTACAGTAATAGGTATCTAATATTATTAATTCTCTGAGCAAACTTAGTGGCGGACTCGTACTTTCACAAGGAACTCTCGGAACTAGTGTGACGAAAAATTCTGAGCTCCCAGACCTCGTCAGAGGCCTGGCCAAAGAGACTATCCAGAATATTCCCCGTGCTGCCCTAAAAATATTCACTGATAGTAGCAGAGGAGAGGGAGGAATTTCCGGTAGTGGAGGGTATATTCCCTACGGGTGCTTTTGAATACAAGATCAATAATCCCAACAACAGTTCGGTTTTTAGGTCTGAGTTTATTGCTATCAGAAAAGGCTTGCAATTTGCTGCTCAGGCAGATACTTTTCAAAATATTTGGATATTGACTGATAGTCGTCCCTCAATCCAGCATATCTCTAATTGGGATATTGTCGAAGATCAGACCAGCCTTGATATTTTAGACCTAATTGACAGGTTTTCATCCAACCATTCTATACAATTTCAGTGGATTCCTCACATGTTGGGGTTGATGGGAATGAGAGGGCAGACTTCCAAGGTCGAATCCGCTGCCGAAGAAGACACTGATCATTGTGGGAAGCTTACCTTTAGTGAAATTTCTTCCCTACAAAAATGAAATTTAACAAGACCATAAGAACTCCTCCCAACCACTCTTGTTATTTTGCAAAAAAAAACGGGAGAATCTTTCAATCTTAGACCGAGAGCCCATCAAACTGTTTTTTCACGCTTCTTGAGTGGCCACACTAGATCCCTTACTTTCAGTGGTTGGGAGGAGTTCTTATGGTCTTGTTAAATTTCATTATTATGTAAAATGAAATTTAACAAGACCATAAGAACTCCTCCCAACCACTCTTGTTATTTTGCAAAAAAACCAGGAGAATCTTTCAATCTTAGACCGAGAGCCCATCAAACTGTTTTTTCACGCTTCTTGAGTGGCCACACTAGATCCCTTACTTTCAACCGGGGCCAAAAAACTTATCCTGAATGTCATTGGTGCTCGACAGACACGGCCTTCCCTGCGTATATTCTGATTTGCTTGGGGTTCGGTAAAGATGAGGTCCTGCAAAATTCCAGTCTTTTTATGGACTTTTTGGAGGTGTTCGAATTCATGGGCTTTGAAGACACATGAATCCAAATCGTCTAGCGCTGCTAGATGATTCCGAGATTAGCAACAACATTATTATTACATATTAATTATATACATACAGGTACTGTGATAAGATTTTTTAATATAAATTTTCTTCAATAAATTAAATTTTTTCTATAAAGATTTAAGTTTAAAAAAAATTTAAATGCCATAAATCAGGATAAACTGTAGGTGTTTACAAGAACACTAATCTGCGAAAAATTGCATTAAAATGGTTAGAAATCTTCAAACACTTTGGTTGTTTGATGAAAAATATTTTCCAATAGTAACTCAAAAAGTTTTCAATATCACCAATCAAAAATTCGAAGCCAAAAAAGTTTTAAAACAGAATTTTTAATCAGTCCCAAAAAATGACTACTTGCTTTTTTAAATTATTTCAATGTTGTGGAGGACAAAATATTTTCAGAAACTACGAAAATTTTGCAGTAGTTGGAGGATATGAGAAGAAGTCAGTCAGTGTGATTTGCATTTATATTTATGAAACATAAAATTGACAACAGGAGCCAGAAAATGTAATTATTATATGTAGTAGTAAACAGATCATTTTGTAGAAACATTGGCTACTTTCACTTAAAAACTGACAAATAGAATTTCTATATATTTGGCTTAATATAATAATCATTTAATTAAATCAATTACTTTCGTAGCTTTTTCTATGTATCTATTTTCGACGCACATAATATGCATCGATAAATGACTGTAATTTATATTCAGCTTATAAAAGAAAACTAAAAGAAATGCGTCGAGTCATACAATACATCATATCTATAAATTATGTAAAAAGAATTGGGCAATTTGTTTTTACAAATGTGTAACATTTAGAAGACTTATAACTTTCATACGCGTTTAAATGACTTAAATACTATATATATATTTAAAAAAATAGGAAAGATCGAGGAGTATCAGGATGAGAAAATTTTTTTTTATTGGCTATCTGAAACAGCTGTTTCTGAATCTTTTACATGTTGAAAATTAATTAAACGAGCAGAACTGTATTTGTCTCATGAAAAATAACTAGAAAAGAACAAAATCACATATTTTGTATTTATATGATCATGAAATATTCCTTAATTATAATTCGATTCGGTCCCCCCCCCTGAATTTTGTTCCAAATAGACAAATTATGGCACATTTATTAATTAAATTGATATGTTCAGTCACAAACATTTAACAGATTTCATGATTAATATTACCGTAATTCGTATATAGCCGATATTAAAAACATTCAGATATGTATTAAAATTTTTATATATTTATAGATTTTTTCATTCAATACAAAACTTTTAGAATAGCGTTTGTGATTTACACTTTCAAATCTATATAAATATAGATACAAATAATTGAAAATAGCAACATTAATAGAAAATATAATTGATTAATTTTGATGTTCAGTGAAATGTTAAAAATTATTGCACATAAAATTGCCTAACTAGGTCAACAAAAAAAATTTCACATACCTATGCCTTTCTGGTTGAGAAATCCCGGAATTAACGAAACTTTTCCGCCATCTTGTTTTCTTGTTGACCTTTTTAAAATTGCAAAAATTAAATTCTAAAAAACAAAGTTTAGGATAGAATAATTTAAATTTTAATTTTTTTAAATAAAAATAATGATTTTTAAAGTAATAATTAGTAAGCTTTAACTTATATTTAACTTTTAATAAAATGTGAAATTTAAAAGCAACCAATCAGATTTCTAGGTTACAAATCGTAGATACGCCAAATCACTGATATGACGTCACCAGCATTATTCGATGGACCGCCATTGCAGGAGAGAGACGCATAAGTATATTGCTTGTGAAATCTGAAATTGTGTAAGAAGAAATTGGATCTATGTGGCATGGTTTTAAGATTTTATATTTAATCATAATAGTTAGTTTTCTTACTACACTAGTACGAGGGGAATGGCGTTACAGAGTGAGGTTTCCCCACCCTTGGTAGGGGATCCTAACAAAGACACAAAGCTTGACGGAGATACAAAAAGGTCGAGTATCAAACAAAATCCCAACAGTTTTATCCATATTTCCACCTTGGTAATATTTTCATTTCGGGAGGGCTCAAAAATTATTAACAACTCCAAAATTAACGGAATAAGCTGTTCGCTTTTTCCAGTGAGGTTAGATAATTTTAAATTTACCAGATATTAATTTTATAATTAAATGCATGTGATGCAGAAGGTAAAGTTTGTCATAAAGTAATAACATCAAATAATTAACATTAATCCTAAAATACTCTTAGAGGTTTATAATAATTAGTTCGTTTATAAAGAATAATGATAAGATCTTAGCCAGGTAAAAAAAAAAAAAAATGCCAATATGGCCGACTGATTTATTATTACGTCAGCCATTGTGAAGAAGGATTCTAAATTGAACGCGACTTAAGTTAATTATAGTCGCAAGAGTAAGTACAAAAATGATTTTGCAAAGTTAAGATTATTATTTATTAAGACAATTATTGTCGAATTATATTTAAAACTAATCTTGTTTTTTTTTTCTTGTATTATTTTCGATAATTTTTAGTAAAATTTTTATTTATTATTTAAGTGTATTAAATTATAATTGCTTATTGTATGTTTTTCTCAAACTTCTTACTTATTAGTGATTTTGGCATATGTCGTTATATTGATCCCCTCGGCGTACTTGTGTGAACCCCGTCGATGAATTTTCAGGCGGAGTGTTAAAAAATTTTATTTAATCTTAACATAATTTTTTTTTAAAAGTTGATTCTGTGTTTTCATTTGAAAAAAAAAATTATTTTAGATTATATTCAAAATTTGGTAGAGATTTCAAAATTTCGCATTGGACCCAAGTCAGTGAGTGCCTTCCCCCCCTCTCCCTCCTTCCTGTCTTTGTCTTAGAATTGGTGTAGGGTAGGTGTAAGGATAAAATCTTTTTTTAAAAAAAATCTGTACTAGATTATGTAATATTTTTTACTGTTAAACCGATTTATTTTAGTATTCATTCTTAAATTCGTTGTTAATTGATTTGTTAAATTTTTTATACTCTTATGAAATTTATTCGATTAGTTCATTTTCTTAATTGAATTTTTTAATTGTTGTAAATTATAAGAAATTTTTTTTTTAAAATGATTGTTTGTTTCAACCAGTTGATTTTGTTACAATTTAAATTTTTATTTATTTTGTCTTTATTGCCAATGTTTTCTTTTTTTTTTATAACCATTAAATTGCGCAAGTTAAGTCCGTATTCTTATCAAGTGTGTAGAGGGAGTCCGGAAAAAAGAAGAAAAAAAAAAGAAAACCTGATTTCACAGCTGTTAAATAACGCTCTCCCCACCTTCCCTGTTTAGGATTCAATAGACGATTCAATTTTTATAGCATCCCTTTAGCAAAGCTCAAAATAAAATAAAAATAAAGATACGTTGAATTTCTCCTCTATCCTCTCCATTTCCTTTTTTGAATTTTTTTCCTAATTGTTTTCATTTATTTTATGTATTTAGTCTTAGCGAGTAAATTATTTTTTGTTTGCATTATTATTATTTTTACTCTTTATCAGAAATTACCGAGGTTAACTTAAATAAATATTGCGAAATTATATTCCATGAATTTTTTAATGGAATCATTTCGCAATATCTATGAAACCCTGAGTTTTTTTTTCAGTCTGCTTTCTCCTATCAGTTCTTCCTCTTCCTCCCCCCTCACTCAACGATTAATACATGTTTATCTGTTTCGGTGAAATGTTTCCAAACTTTTGCTTTGTTTATTTTATTTATTTATTTTTTTTAATTTTGGGTGATGAATATCTGCACAACCGTATCCCCCCCCCCTGCATGATATCTTTTTTTTTATCGTTTCCTTTTTTGAAATTTTTTTGTTTTTAGGCTATAATAATTTGTACTTTTACTGTAATTGAAAATGATTTTTAAGAAAAAAGTAGTACCGTTTTTTTTTTTTTTAAATGGTGAATACTTATTATTTTTTTTAAAATGCGTTTCGCTAAGAAACAAAGTAAATGGTGTCGTTTTTTTTTTTTTTTTAATTGTTCGAATTTTCTATTTCTATCACATGCTTTAATAGGCCGTTTTACTTTTTTTAAAGACAAAAAAATTTCATAAATTATTAATTCAATTTTAGGTACTAACTATTGCAGTGTATTTGGTATGGAAAAAAGTTCCATCTAAAAAAAAAAATGTCAACCTTAAGTTCAAATTTCTAAGATAATCATACTTTGTAATTTATGCGACTAGGTTAGAAAGGATTTTGACGGTTTTTTATTGATAGTATGAATATTGGTGAACTATCAGATTTAATTCAACCTCCATTATGTAAGAATTAAAAAAGCGGGAAGGTTGCATACTGTTACAAAAAATAAATTCTACTTACTTACAGCATGTTAATTTTTTATTGAATAGCAAATTAGTTTATGTTATGCTTTATTTTATTACTGGAAGCAATATTAAATCTATTTAGCTAATTCTAAGGTTCCCATATGTATTCTTTTAACTTTTTCAAAGCATAATAATAACTTTGAAAAAGCTTTAAGAATCCCCACTTTACAACCTTCGAAGTAACTGGATTCAATAAAACGCATGTCCATTATTAAAATAAAAAATACTTAAGTGTAAGGAATGAGGAAATTACGTTCTTGTAATGAATTTTCTACGTGCATTGTCAGGGAAGTAGTAGACTTCCTTTTATCCCTGTAAAGGCGATCTAATACTTACATGTTCAAAAAGTAAGTTACAAGATGAATTATTCAAAACTTAGTGAATTTTAGGATAACTAATTGAGTATTAAACCTCGGGTAAGTTTATTATCATCATAATTTTTTTTTTACTAAAAAAAAATGCCATTACTTCGATGACTCCAAAAATCTTCATTTATTGCATAAGTTTTACCGAAATTTAAAGTTGGGGTATAATGCAGAAAAATAATATTTAAGTTGAAATGCGAATCTAACGGTTCTGAAATTATTAATTTTTTAACTCAGTTTTAATTTGGTTTAATAGTTTTTTTTTTTAAAATATTTTTAACGTTTTAATAATTAGCTTGGTTTTCTCATTTTTTTTAGATTGCGTACGTTTTGATGTGGGGTGGGGACGGGTTCACTGCTCCGTGACTTAATAACTTGTACGTTCATCGTTTTGTTTTACCGCACGACTAAGTTTGTTGCACCGTTTGATTTCTGTATTTAACTCAATATAAAAAATTGACTTTTAACGTAACTTCAAAAGTCAGCCATTACCACTGGGAGTTTAAAAGAACAAAAAAAAATGTTAAAATCTTGGGTTAAAAATTGATCTAGTAGTTACTCAATCATAAATAATGCGTTTCTGTTTTGTATTCTTTTTTCTTGCAGATTTATTTCTTTAGTTACATTTAAACTTAAAATATTTAATTATAATTTCGTTAAATTATTAAGAATTATGTGAAAGGATGACTCGTATTTCAATAATGTCATATTCAGACTTGTTCATTTTTTTTTTTTTAAAAAAGGCCCCAAAGGTGTTATACAAAATGTTGATATTTTATATATAATTTGTATTTTGAACTAAACAATTGGTTTTGCTTTTGATTAGAATTCTTTTCGATTAATGACTGGCGAAGATGATCAAAAATTTAAGATCTTGTTTTTGTCCTGCTTAACCGTTTTAGGCGCAAGCCTTTTATCGTTCATGTTTGTTCAGATGAAATCGCGACAACTTAAGATTTTAGCTTTCTGAAAGGGAGGTCTTAGTGATCTGATTTGGGAAATTATAGTTAAATAGTTTCCCCTTTAAAAAAAAATTCAAAAACGCAAGCTATTTTTATTTATTTGTTTATCAACAAAACAACCTTTTTTTTTCTGTTAAGACTATTTTTATGAAAAAGGAAGTACTGAATGCGTTATAAAGTTAAGGGAACTTATCAGTATTCATTTGCCCAGTGAGTTCCATCCGGAGTACTAAGGGTTAAGGGAACTTATCAGTATTCATTTGCCCAGTGAGTTCCATCCGGAGTACTAAGGCATAGAAGTGCATCGAGGTAAAAAAATAATAATAGTTAGAAAGGCAGAAAGATTTTATTTTCCTGCTAAATTTCTCCGATTTGCTAAAAACGATTTTTGTACCTTTTATTGAATGTTTTATTTTTAAGAAGCTTTTAGAATGTTATTTACTATATGACACAAAGAAATTTTCTTCAAAATCGCAATACGAAATAAATTGCAAGCGCAAAAATTATTTTTTATTGTTATGAAGAAAAGACAACTACAGATGAAATGAAATTAAATGTCACACAACGGATTACTTATAAATGCCTTACAGCGGATGGCGCGCACGTGGTTATCGTTGCCATTTTGAATATCTTTCTTTCAGAACAGTTTTTATTATTTTTGTAACCCCCCCCCCTTCTTTGTCAGCAAAAATAAGCAAATCATCTAAACCGCTGTGTAACTGAAAAAATAACGTAAGTTCTTTACGATCGATTACCGAAAAACAACTATTTTCTTTCCCTTTGAACGCTGAAATAGAATTTCATAATACTTAAAATTACTTAAAAAAATAATAATTATTATTTCGCAACTTATACGAAGATCCCAAGTAAATTAAAACTTCAATTTTATATTTTTTGTCGCTTCTATTCATTTTTTTATTGCACACGTAAACTCATCTCTTGCTTAAGTAAGAAAATAGTAACACCCCCTTGTGTTTTGATTTGAGTTTCACTAAAATAATCTTAATTTTTTAACTAAATTTAAATAAAAACGAAACTTGGCATACAAACAAAAAAAACGTTTAATTCATTTTTAAAATTTGGAGTAGAAAATATATAATTAATTTTTTAATCTCTTTCTTGTTTTGATATCGTTATCATTTTCTAATATCTTTTATTTTTTAGGTCGTAAATTTCGTGAAAATTTTAACTGATGAAAATTAATTTCAATTAAATATATTTCATTGTTTGCATTTTGTGCAAGACTAAAATTTAACTTTATATAATAATTTTAAAAAAATTTCTAGATTCGTTGCCTTTAAACGATTGTTACGATCTAAACCCCATTTTAAAATAAAATGCATATGCTTATGTAATTTATAATACTGTCTTTTTCCTGTTGAAAAGGGGTCGTATGTGACTTCATTGTTATATTTTTAGAGGGGGGTGGACATGTGTTACGCACTCTGATTGGTATAGACAGGGTTCATAGCGTTTTTAGAAAGTGCTTATTTTCGGTGCTTTTTTTATTAGGTATTTTTTAAAAAGTGCTTCATTTTCCCTTTTCGAAAAATGAAATTTTTTATTCTTTATCATGTCGATTTTCGACGCGTATTATGCAAAAGCGTGGTTTTCAGATTGTTCTATTCAACCTTTTCAAAATCATTCAAACACCATTTCGGCGTGCCATCGTTCCGCATCGTATGAAAGCACCAATCATTTTACATGTTTGATGTAATCAGGGGTATGT